ATCCTAGCGAAGTTTAAGTTTTGGAACTGAGAGTTCAAATAAGGGAAGTTATTGTATTAGCAGGCAACTGGTTAGGTGGGTCAATTTTCTTGTCAAAATTTTCAGGCTCCATGCAGCGTCGTTCCGCTAGACTCAGCTCTTTAACTCACTGATTTACTCGTATTTATCTATAATTATTTTGTTTCATAAACCCAAGAGATTTCCCATACTATTTCAATGTTGTGAATAAGTGGAATACACTAATAAATATGATCATAAACAAGCACACAAGTTATTACAGAAATCAATCTCAATCTTTCATTAATTCAAAAAGATAAATCCGTCTGCATGTGTGCTGTGCATATGCGTTCTGCCCTCCAAAACTTGCATTGCCTACAATGCATTGTATGCTACACCAGAATATTGACAGTTTACATAGTAATGACATGTGTCCCTTTGTTCTAGCCATTTCTCCCCACACAAGAAACTGCCACTAACTGTCCCAAACTGCGCAACTCCCTTGGCTTGCCTCCCACAAACCAACTGCCGAATTGCCATCACCCTTGCTGCCAGTCCTGCTGGGATTGAGTCTTTGGTGTGGTTTTAGTTGTTTGTTATACTAGCTAGTTCTTTTAGTTATTTGCAGGCTATGGCAGGTTTCATATTCTAGGGTGATGGGAAAAGTGGTGTCCTTTGACCCCTCGCATATAGTGTTGACTGCAGGTGCTGCTACTGCAATTGAGATACTATGTTTCTGCTCGGCAGGCCATGGAAATGCATTTCATAATCTGACACAATATTATCCTGGGCAATTCTATAGCTTTGAGTACAAATTTTGATTTTTAGTAGCCAAGTGAGAAGCAAGTTGAAGTTTGTAAAGATTTTTGCATGGAAATGTGCTCACGGAGTTCATCAGAAGAGCAATATGCAGATTTGACAGAGATGTGAGATGGCGAACTGGAGTGGAGTTGATTCCTGCTCGCTGCCGCAGTGCTGACAACTTCTTATTAAGTTTTGCTGCTCTTGAACAAGCATACAATCAGGCTAGAAAACGAGGAGTAAGAGCTCGGAGGATGTTGATTTCAAATCCCTCAATATACTTTCACGGGAAACCCTCTATAATATATTAGACTTCGCCTGAGAGAAGAGCATCCACATTATCTCTGATGAAATATTCACCGGGTCTGTGGATGGAGGTGAGGGGTTTGTGAGCATGGCAGAAATTTTTGAGGAAGAATTTGATGAGAACAGGGTTCACATAGTATACGGGTTGTCAAAAGACCTCACTTCCGGGGTTTAGGGCTGGGTTTATTTATTCATACAATGCTATTGTTTTGCCAGCTGCTAAAAAATCACCTAGATTTTCTCCTATTTCTTCTCCAAGCCAGAGGTTACTGATTTCAATGCTGTCAGACACCAAATTCATCGAAGACTATATTGAGACTAACAAGCAGAGGATACAGAAAATGTATCATTCTTTTGTTGATGGATTCAAACAACTTGAAATCGGGTGCATAGAAAGCGGTGCTGGTTTATACTGTTGGGCTAATATGAGTGGACTAATCCCATTTTACATCGAGAATGGGGAACATGAGCTATGGTATAAGCTTTTGAATATTGCTAAGGTCAATTTAACTCCTGGATCAGCATGTCACTGCATAGAACTGGGATGGTTCCGGTGTTATTTCACTGCTTTGGCTCTAGAAGATATTCCTACGGTCATGGAACTGATCCGCAAAGTGGCAGAAACTTGTAAATCTCATGGTTGAAAGACAATTTTTTGCACTCAATTTTTTTTTATGGATTGTTGATGGCACAACCATGTATCCCAATCACCTCTTTCAATGGCGGAGCAAGCAAGTTAACAAAAAAATCAAATTTGATGTCTTGGCAGTTCTAACAATTTTCAGGATTTGGTTTCATTCCGATTGCTGTGAATTGTTCACATATTTGTCTGGAAGAGGGAAGCTAAAACGATTTGAAAAGGGCTGATCAAAGAACAGAACTCAGTGTGGTTCTGAGTGATAGATGCCCTATACTAGTTTCAGTCTGGGTTGGCGCATCTTCCTCTGCAGCCCTCCAATCATAGTGATGCTAGCTCCAAAGATGAAGCATCCAAAAGCATTCTTATCCATAAATTTCAGCCACTCTCGCAAACAGGCAAGTGTAAAGTTTTAATCTTTCGTTGAAAATAGCAGATTAATAAAAAATGAAACCTTTTTTTTATTCAATGATATCTCAGAAAGAGACGATTTTAAGTATATTTGCTCTTCTGACTTCTAGTTGTTTATCACTATCAGTAGTCTAATATCTAAATATGGTTTTAGGTGTGAATGGCAGTGAAATAGAAGCAAGAAGTGAACATCTACCATTGATGGATTCTGTTTTCTCAATTGAACAGCTATTCTCTGGCAACTCCTTCGGCTCACCAATATCAACTCACCAAGCTTTAGTGGTCTCCTCACCACGGCACTGCCATTACGTTCATAATCCAAATATCTGCTGTTTAGCTCCGGAGAGAAAGATTCCTTTCTGTGGTGGGAAGTCTTTCCAAGAAAACCAGATTTAGGTGTATATAATGGAAAGAGACATTCCAGGAAAAAGCTGATGGCGGTTGCCTAATGTGCTTTTCCTCAAGGATTGAATGACTTCCAAATCAGCCAATCTGAATTAAAAAGCCGTTCTCCCTGTAGCATTGCAGCTTGATCTGGTCCTGTTCATCCATTTATATTGCTAACGAAGTGGATTAGTAGAGTGTTCCTATCCTAACTTTGCATGCCACCTGCACCATTCTTTGGATCAAGCAATAGATTAGGCTTCCCTGCCCTCTCTACTGACCGCATGACTCTTTGGAGTGGGCCCGCTCTAAAAATAAACTCTTTCAAGTCCAGCCCAAATAAACAATATGGGTCATCAACGATGCACCGCCCATAAGGAGGGCCTCCGTGCATTAAACTGAAAACCTAGAAACCTACCCACCATTACCTTTCCCTTGTCCCGTGAGGAAGGTTTGTATGCCTGTATATATTTAGACACATGGAAGCGCTGCGTGCTCCAAAAATTGAAGCAGTCACAAGGAAGTCTCTATTCTCCAAGAAATCATAATATCTTTAGTTCTTCAAGAAGCTAAAAAAAAATCAAGAAAGATGGACTTGATAAACAGCTCAACTCCTCCTTTGTGTGCTAAGGGTTGCGGGTTCTTTGGATCTCCAGAGAACAAGAATTTTTGTTCAAAGTGTTATAAAGACTATCTCAAAGAAGGGTTAATTGCCGAGCCTTCCAAGAAACTCTCTGAACCTATCGTAGTCACCCCATCTTTTGATGATAATAGCCCAGATGTTGTTACTGATGAAACAACTTCAACAACTACTGCTGTTGCATCCACTTCAAAAGTGAAGAATAGATGTGAATGCTGCAACAAGAAAGTTGGTTTGATGGGGTTCGAGTGCCGCTGTGGGAACACCTTCTGTGGGGTTCATCGATATCCTAAGGAGCACTCTTGTACTTTTGATTTCAAGACTCTTGATAAACAAAAATTGGCCAAGCAAAATCCGCTTGTTGCAGGTGAAAAGCTTGGTTCCAGAATTTGAATGATCAGGAGTTCTTGCATCTGTCTTCTTTATGAATTCAAGAAATTAACTTCTTGTTTGTATCATTATCTTTTCTTTGATTTTGAAAATAAAAGTGTCGACATGGTATCATCTTCGAAGTAATTAATAGTTTATGAAATCTCGCAAGAGCAAACTTCCAAGTCAGCCACCAACTTGTTGGGTTGTTGCCATTCATGTGCCACCGCTCTCTTGTCAGTAATGTGCTCTCTAATGCTAAATTGCATCAAATTACTCAGTTAAACTAATTGTGCTTCAGTTGAAAATAAGAATTAGTTTAACTTGACAAAAAAAAATTCGTTTTTAGTCAACTAGGTCCTCGTTTGTTATGATTTAAAAGCAGAAATGTTTTAAGACAGGGGTTAATTAGGTAATGTTCAACAGATGAGGGGCCAAATTGGGATTTTTTTCAGGGACCCAATTGAAGATATGGCGCTAGTTAGGGATTATATGTCCCAGAATTATCTTTCTTTGTCTTTTAAGAGACTGGAACATGCATGGTACATATAGGATTACTTGTTCATTTAGTGTTTGGATTTGTAACGGTTATTATTTTTTTAAGTATCTATTTTTTAAATGTATTAAAATAATTTTTATTTTATTTTTTAAAACTTACTTTAAACACTATCATATTAAAAAAAAAATTAAAAATAATTTATTTTCAAAAGACAGCTCAATCACATAAACAAACACTCAACAACAGTACTGTTTGCAAGCAACAGGTTAATCCGCATCGCAAAAGGATCATTGCTAGATATTGACTTGTAAATAATCCGAATTCCAGTGGGATTAATGTACGCAACAATTGAAAAATCTTAGCTGTATATATAATACAATCCAGAAGCTACAGAGCAAGAAATTCTTAAGATTTGTTTGCATAATATAATTTAATTATCAAGATAGAATTGATGGATTCATAAAGCAGTTTGAATCCTCCTTTGTGTGCTAGGGGTTGTGGGTTCTTTGGTTCTCCAGAGAAGAAGAATTTGTGTTCAGAGTGTTACAGAGACCACGTCAAAGAAGAAGAGTCCGTTGCTGCTGAGACTGCCAAGAAACTCAACTTGTCATCAATACCCCATCTGCTGCTGCTAATGATAAAGCCCAGATGTTTTAAATGATGAAACAACTTCAAGTTCAGCCGCCGCCGCCGCATCCTCTTCAACAGTAAAGATTAATAGATGCGAATGCTGCAACAAGAAAGTTCGATTGCTGGGGTTCAAGTGCCGCTGTGAGAAGACCTTCTGTGGGGTTCATCGACATGCCCAGGAGCACTGTTGCACCTTTGATTTCAAGACTCTTGATCGACATATTTTGGCCAAGCAAAACCCTCTTGTTGTTTCTGATAAGCTTCATACTAGAATCTGATTTACCCGCCTTCGGAGTTTTCATTCTTCGATCCTTGAACGTAATAAAATTTTATTTTTCTTATCCTGTGATCTTAAATTAATCTACATTCAAATGGTATAATTTAACTTAATTTTAATTTTTATGGAGTATATTTAACAATAATTATTATAATTCGAGATTGTTTGGGAAAAAATATAATTTTGTTTTTTTAATTATAAAACAAATATTTAATTATTATTCTGGATCAAGAAAGACAAAAGATATATACGTAGTTGTACTTACAATTTAAATATTTACTTTAAAATTATTCTAAAAATATGTTTTGTTTAAATCTTTATATATATATATATATATATATAAACATTAACCAAATACAAAGTTGAGGATTATCAAGTTGTAATGTGGCTAACTGGGCCTGCCATGTTTTGAACTTGTCGTTTGGAGAACTACTTGATTTAATGAGCCATGAGGACTGTCAAGAGTCAAGTTCCAGGATGCTGTCACGTGTTTGTTTGCCTCTGCCAAGTTATAGTATTGCACATGTCAGGATCCCTGTATCTCGTATTTGCACAAGTAAATATTAGTTATTTAACCCGTATTTTTTCAATAAATATATATATAGTTATTTATATATGTGCAAGTTTTTGAAATGTGTTTTTTTTTTAATTCTAATAATAAATCAAAATATTTATGCATATATTTAATTAAATGTATCAAAAATTATATATGCAAAAATATACAAAAAAACAAAGTTTTAATGTATGTATTCAATTCATCTTACTACAGGTTAAATAATTTTTTTCTAATACAGAATAATTAATATATAAATTTTATTTATATATTTTTTTTTTAATATCAAGTAACAAATATAATTTTGAATAAAAAATTTATGATTAGATGTAATAAAATATAGTAAAGATTACATGTGGTAATAAAAATATGTAATATCTTAAGCTAAATTTTTATGTAATTCAAGAATGTAAAAGTGATACAATTGATATAGTGAAAATATAAAGAAAATAAATTACAAAGAAATAAAGATAAGAAAAACAATATAAATACACTAAGTGTAAAGTGATAAATATTTAAAGATAAAAAAAATAAAAAATAATTTTTTTTCAAAAATGTATGAATAAAAAAATACTATAAAAACAAAGATAAGAAAAAATGATGATAAATAACCAAATGTAAAATTAAAAAAAAAGAAAAAAATATATAAGAAAAAAACTTTTTTTTAAAAAAAAATAAAGAATTATAATTATAATCTTACCATAACTACAGTACTACTACAATAACAAATTTAAAAAAAAATTATGTCATTTCTAAGTAAAAATGCCATTTTCCTGCAATTGTATAATAATAATTGTAGAAGTGCCCAGCATTGTTGGGTGTACCAAGCTGGCTTATCTTGGATGGACTTGCTAGGTTTCAACGACATTATGCGAAGATCATACATGTGACTGGGTCCATGGCGCCCATACAGGTTTAATAGCTCGATAAGAATTTATTTGTTTTTATATTTTAAAAATATTTTTAAAAAAATTATTTTTTATTATTTTTTATTTTAAATTAATATTTTTTAAA